TCTTACAAAACCTACAGTTCCTTTCTCACGAAGATCGATGAGCAATCTTTTTCTTCACCAAAACTTTCTTTAAAGTTCAGTAGTGTTACATAAATGAATTAAATAGAAGTACAGTGCTTTAAAAACTACCCACAGTAGGATTAATTAATTAAGAAGGAAAGATCCATTTTGCTATGCATTTCTGTATTTTAGGGCAGAACGAAAGAATTTTTTAGTGAAGTTTGTGGGGATAACTTTTCCTACTGACCAGTGTAATAAAGATATTATAACAGCTGCAAGGTATTGGTTACACTGCTGGAATTCATTCTGGTGTACACAGAATTTTTTTTATGCATGCCTTTTGAAAGAAAACAATTTGATAGCAGGTGTGACCTTTAACCTTTCCAGACTTGAAGGACTTAATCATCGTCATTTGTTCAGCTCTGAATATACTTTGAGGAGAGAGGAAACAGAAGGGAAATGTGGGTTTGAGGCGTTTTGTTTTCACAAAGATATTAAAGTTGGAGGGGTTTTTTTGTTCCGTATAAAAGAAAATGAGGTTTTTTCCTAGGAAAAACATTTTGTACGAAGACTCCTCACGATAGACTTATAATGGAAATGCTCAGTGAGCCCTAATTATGATACAGATGCAAAACCAACACAGTTCCCTATCCAGCCTTGTCTGACGGAACAGGCAGCAGATGCTGTTGCTGTTCTACAGGGAAGGTGTCACAGCATACTTCAGCAATACATTGTTCCAACCAGACCACCTTCTGGGGGTATTTTGGAGACAAGGATACAGGTGTGGCCATGGTACCCAGATGAACCAGCTAAGGGTTGAGGAGAGGGGGTAGCTGCCATGGAAACTATTGCAGCAGCCCTGCAGCCTGAGGTAGGTGGAGTGGTTGGGGAAAGGGGAGTGCTCTGTTCTCTGGAGCACTCCAGTGGAAAGCCAGTTTTGTGGAGAGGAGAGTATTTGTCCCTACAGAGCAGCTACTTAATTAATTTTTCTGTTTTTATGGTTTAATTATCTGCTGATTAAAGTGAAGCCTGTTGGAACTGATGCGAGTCAGGCATGTGCTTGGCAAACTTCTCTACATAACCCTGCCAACACATCACAAATCTGCTTGCAATAGCCCATACTGTTCCAATACCAGACCGATCTCTCTGGGTTACATACTGCCAGTTGTGCCAAATAGTGTGGTGGTTCAGTTATTTGTAATTATGTCCAGATTAGAGAATGAAATTCATTTTCACAGGTGACAGAACGTGCATTGAAATGCAGATCTTTTATTTCTAAAGGCTAGAAATTGGTTGGCCATGGGGTCAATCTACTAAGAGTGTAAACTAAGAGTGTAGATTATCCACCTGTCTCTTGCACTTCAACCTGAGTTGAAAAATCTTTCCTTAATTTTTTTCCCTCAGCCCTCTACTCAAAGAGCTGATCATGCCACCAAAGCTTTGACCTTTTTTATTACATGAATGAAGCTAAAGGTTCATAATTTGTATAGTTATATGGAACGATACCGTAAATTGAGAGTGGCTGTCATTCTGAAAAATTCTACAGCATTTAATTATAGCTTTCTAGCTAATTTGCCCTTTGTTCTTGTTTATAAGCCTTTTGGCTTTGAGGTAATCCAAAAGCTTGTTGATTTACGTGAACATTTCTTTTCATACATGGTCTTATTGCTACTCAACTCTGATTCAAATGATTTTGAGTAGAAACCTCTTCATATATTGGTGATACGTTGAGAGTGGTCTGCAGAACTTGGTCCATACCACATTCAGAGCACTCAGCCACGCAGTCTACCAATTGGGCTGAAAGAGGAAGGGATGGTCTTGTATTGGGAGTGAGTAGATCTGGGATCTGTTCCTAACTCTGCAACAGAATTCCTGTGTGATCTTGGGCAAGTCACTTAGGCATAAAATTTCAAGAGAGTCCACTAGTTTTAGATGCTACAAATTTTGGGTTTCTAATTTGATGTTTTTTCAGAGGTAACTGCATTGACCTCGGCTGAAGTTGAGACTTTTCAGCATCTCTGTTTTAAGTTTCTCATACTGGACAACCAAAGTTAGTGGACATATGATAATTTTGGCCTTAATCTCTCTGTTTGAGTTCCTGATCTGTAAATAGGGAATTATAACCCTTCCCTCTGGATGTTGAAAGGATAAGTGCAGGTTTACTGTTTGTGTGATGCTTATATGCTACAATAATGAACACGACAGAGAAACCTATAAATAAAATTGATGTTCTAAGTAGGTCTCTAATGTAGGTGGAAAAATGATACCCTATCTTAACTTCTTCCATGTCTTTTTTTTTCTTTTAATATTTATATAGAGATTAATATGCGTGTCGTGCTTTTCAGAGACAATAAAAGCCCAATGATTGACTGACGGAGTTTGCCATATAGGCTGGAAGTTTTGAATCTAGATCAAGGTTGTTACATCAAGGCTTAAAATTTTTTTGCAGGCACCTATTTGCCAGAGAACTTAATCTACTTTCCAGAGTCCATTGTGAAAGATGGGAAGGCCCCACTGTCCAGAGGTAGTACCATGGTGAGAAGTCCAGTCCCTCTACTCCTAGAAATGGGGAAGGGTGATGAGATTCCTACTAGATCCTGCTTAGGGATTCCTAGATCCCTCTTAGAGATTCCATCTTTCATATCACCCTCCAGCTAAAAGGAAGGTTTCAAATGTGCCAGCCCCCTTTGGCTGCTGGAGGGAAGGAGCATTTATTCTCTTCTCCTTCCCATCCTAAAGCCTCTTATCTTCTGCATAGGTAAGGGACTCCACAATGCCTCCTCAGCTTCCTGGCTATTGTAGCTGGGCACTGGGCATTCTGCCATTCTACCATTTCCCTCCAGCTTCCTGGCTGCTAACACAGAGCAATGTTTGCTAATCTATATTCCCCCATTTATATCCGAGTTAATAGCTCTGCTGCCTGTTTCCACTGCTGCTCATAGCTTTCTCAAGGAGTAGTACAATCAATAGGATGTCAGTTTGATGGTTGCCCACAGTTTTCAGAATAGCAGCAGTAAAAGCTAACAACAATCAAGTCTGTTTTCACTCTGTTAAATCATAGGAGAACTCTGAGGAGCGGGACCAGCAGCAGCAGAGAGGGGTACTTCAGTCCTCTCTCTCTCTCTCTCTCTCTCTCTCTCTCTCTCCAGACCCAGCAAGATAGCACTGCATTGTTAACCTTCCAAATGTGAAATGCATTTAATCTTCGCAACAGCAAGGGATAGAAACTCTTTGTTTAATTAAGTTAAAGGAAAAGTAAAATTCTGCAGAATTTGGCATAGGTTCTTCTACGCGCCAGGAAAAGCTGCTTACTCTCCAGTGGCAGATGGATTTTTCAAGTCCTCCATTACGTCAAGTCTCCGAATTTGTTCAGCACCAAATGCAATGAGACTTTCCGTTTTCCCTATAAATTCTGGGAATTACAAGCACCTGCTCCATCAATAGTGACGAATTCCATGATCATTTACAAATGTGTGTTCAACTTCTTGAAGTCGTCAGCTTGGGTTTAATCAAAATGTAGCACAGCAGTAGGAAAATAAATGCTTTATTAAATATTCTAAAAACAATAAAACATATCTGTCTACAAAGTTTAGTTTTGTTTTTGTTTTTTAAGGACTGATGCCTTTTAGCCCTATTTTGGTTATAAAATGAAAACGTTTGTTTTCTTGTGATTCCTTTTGTATTTCTAAAGTACAGTTACATTCAAAATGCTGTGTCATTTTAATTTTTCTTTTGATACAGGAATTAAGTAGTTGTAGTTATTCTTTGTATCATTTGACCCAGACCACAAAGACTTAGCTATGATGCTTAAAAGATAGATTAGAAACCAGGTTTAGTTTGTCTTGCTTTATCTGTTCTTTCATCTTCACAGCTGATGTAAGGCGTGTGTGTCATTGATGATGCCCAGTAATAGGTATGCTAACATGTAGTTTATTTTATGCTTTAAATTTGAGTATTGCTTGAAAAACTTATTTTTGTTTATTCCTTTCTTATCACAGCAGTGCTGGTCAGCATGTGTGTGAAGTGGTATGCTAAGTTATTCTACATAAGATTGTGCTTTCTGCTTGGTCTAAAGAGTCCTAACTTTTTAGGGGCTGTTTTACACATAGATGGTTTTTGTTTCTTTGTTTTTGTTACCATAACTATATTGGTTTAGAAACATGGAGTTAAAGCAGTACAGCCCCCGAGTGTGAACACAGTTATACCTGTACAAAGATGCCTATAATGGTACAGCTCATTCCCCTGAGCCAGGATTTCACTCAGTATCTCTTGCAGAGACAATGTATCTTATTCTTAGACAAATTGACTTTTTTAGTTGCGCCTGGAACAATCTCAGAAGCCCTCATAAATTCTGAGCCATTAATGCATGGTGTGGGAATTAGAAAACCTGTACTCTTTCAGAGAACTGAGAATTTAGTACTATAAGAGACCATTTTTCACAAAAAAAAGTCACTTTAGTTAGTGTCTTCTGTCTACAGAATATAGCAACAGTATTAAAGATGACCATAGAAAGTAAAACCAAGTTCATACTCACCTGAAACTGTGGTTTTAGTTACATCTTTGTAACATCTGTTTGTCATATCCATAGATATTGAATCTTTAAGTGGATTTATGATTTTCCCCCAGAGACTGCTTTTTGGTCATCTTAATTACAATTTTTTAAAATGCGAAGTGTATAATGAAGATGATTACTCCATGAAATAAGATCCATTTGAAGAAGAGCAAGTATTAGCAACCAATACATTTGTGCCTGTTCTCTCTTGCTATTCAGAATAACTTCGGTAGAGCTAGATTTCTAGTAAAGAAGCAACAACATCATTAGCAGTTGAAATGGGCTTTATTTGGGTACCTTTTTGGGTTCCATTTTTCTGGATAATGCCAGGATAGAATATGCCAATTTAAAATATTTTCTTCCCTGGAACTGCACAGGAAAAAAGTATTCGTGCACAAGTATTAGTGCATTTTGCCTACATTTAATAATTCTTTTTTTTTTCCTTCAGACCAGCCAGACCATTCAAGTTACCAAAAAGGTAAGGTACCGTATAAGCACTTATAAATCTTGTGCATGTTCTTTCATATGTTAAGAAAACCATGTCTCATACACAGGTGATAGTGTATTGTAAAATCAGCTGTTGTGCATATGACTAGGTTTCGCTCTAAAAACAGAAGGAAAGAATAATATTAATTGAAGACATATCCCATGTTGTCTTCTGATTCTTTTTTAATTTTCTTTTCTTTTCAAATACTGTGTGTGCGCACACTACCCACATCAGGCACACAGAATCCACAGCTGACCACAGTCCTGCTCCTGAGTGTACCACCAGAAACTCCCTGGTCTAACACCAAGAATTATAAAACAGCCTGATTTAAAAAGCTCAGGAGAGGGCATTGCAATAATCTTTCCTACCCTTAAACACAAATTTGGCATGGGTACCGGCTCTGTACATTTAATGGAAGAAAGTAGAATGGCCTACCCAAAATTGTGCATGCACCTGAAATATTAGATACCATTTCAAATGAACACATGTTAAAGGAATAATCCACATGCAGGAATTGCCCTCAGTAAATAATAGATCTGTTCAGTGAATATACTGCTTATAAATCCAATCAAATAAATTTCCATTGTATGTGAAACAATGAAAACCTCTTAAATATACACAAACTAGACCTTTTGAAAAGTTGTATATATCTTTTTGTGTGCAACCAGAATGTGATGAACCAGGTTTTTCTCATTATACACACAGACAGATTCACAAAGGGAACTCCTAAGCATTATTTTATTGCTTAGTATTCAAACACAATTTCCCAGCTCATTAGAAGTGCAGTGAGGCAAGTAAAGAATCACAAATATATGTATTTGGTGGATTAGAAAAATGAAGCACCATACCACAAAGCAGTGTAGGAAATGTTAACATACTACTGACTAGACTGAATGCAGCAGATGTTTTGGCATAAAATAGATTTCAGGCAGCTATGAATTTTGTGGTTAGTGGGCACTTCCACTTGATTCAGGCTACTGAATGGTTGAAGAAATGGCTTGCTTACCAGTCTGGCCCAGTCCTCTGACTCTTTTCAGCCAGTTGCACCAATGTATTGGTGGGTTTAATCAGCTGGTATAAGTCAGGAAACTGAAGCCTTGATTCAGGAAAGCTCTTAAACATATATTTAACTTTAAGCGTGCCGTTTTAAATTTGAGCTCTTTCTTGACTAGGGGTGGATTTAAGCAGATGCTTAATTGCTTTTCTGAATTGGGGGCAGAGATCTGAGGCCAGTCGTTTTCATCTTCAGGTCGATGCACCCACATTTTTTAAATTCAGGTCAAATCCACAGCTTCCCTTTAAGAGCAAGAACTACAATTTAATTTTAAAACTCCCATCTCCCACACAATGGCTACAAAATAAGTAGAAGTAGAGAGACCAGCTTTTCCTTTTGGATAACAACTTAGGATCTCAGTTGTTTGTGGACAAATCACTTGAAGCGATTTCTTGCTTTACACTGGCGTCATTAGTGGTGCCAAATGAAGCTCAGACAACCAAAATCTGAAATTTTGAAGTTGACAAAAGAGAATTAATTACTGTATCTCAAAAATGTATGCTGGCTGGAAAGGGAATGCTATTTTCAGATTTGTCAGAGGCTACTTAAAATTATTGTGAATCTACTTGATACAGATTCTCATGCCGTTTTTTTGCATTTTCAGTGAGCTGTGAAATTATTTGCATGTTCAAGGTACTAAAAAGCACATAGGCTAATTAACAAAGACTACATCGGAGAGTTGAAAACCAACAAGGACTGCAAATTATGTTGAAACAAATGTTGTTGTCACATGGTTCAAATGGATGCTTTTGCTATTTTGGCTGCAGTGATCATTGCTGATACAAATATCCAGTGTATAACTGTGATGGGACCGACACTGAATCAGGGTGGGGAGTGGAGCAATGCTGGTCTAGGGAGGCTGCGCCCCTTAACAAGTGCAACTTGCATAGAGTGTTCTCAGTTCAGGAACAGTTTTAAAAGGACACTATTGCTAGGAGAGGGGGGAAATGAGTGTATGTGATACCAGGAAGCCAGGCTGATGCTCAGAGCTGTGTCAAGAGTAGCAACAGCTCTGTGAAGGCTGCTCTAGCCACAGGGACTTGGATTCGCCCCCTTCTTTGGGAGTTGAAAGCTCTGACAGGGATTTAACTAACTGAACAGGACACTAAGAGACTGAGAAAAGTCTGCTTAGCCTATGATTATGCCCCAAACTAAGGAGCTCCAGACTGTTAGGAAGTGACCTTGGAGAACACATAATTTGGGGTAGCTCAGTAACTAGGCTGGACACTTGGATAACCTCTAGGGCCCTGCTTCAGGCCCAATGAAGTAGGTGGACCCAGGTCCCCTACTTTGCACCCTTTCTCCTGCTCCTCTGTATTGACTGGATTCTGGGGGGCCAATCAGAGCACAAGTGGGTGATTGAGACCACAACTGGGGCCCCCTCTGGGATGGCTTGACCAACCAAGAGGTATCCACTAGGCCTGATGGTCATCAGAGCTTCCCACTACAGTGACATAAAAACATAGGACAATTTTACAAGAGTAAAGACCTGGTAATGTTTCCTATGTAAGGTTTATTAAAGTCTTTAAACAGGTCACATAGGCCACAACTTTCTTTAGTGTTAGTTATTGATTGAAGAGTTCTGCACAACTGAGATGAAAGCAAGCTGCTCAGCAGAGAATGGAATCCTACACACAACAGGGTAAAGGGATAATTCTTGCAGTGACAACACACTGGTGAAAAATAACTTTTAAGTTTTCAGAGCTCTCGACAAACATTTAACTAGTTAATGTACAATCTGGTGTATATAGAAATATTGAATCTTGTAAATAGAAAATGTTAAGTCATCTACTCCCTCTCTCTTAAACTTTGCGCAATTGGTTATTTGGGCAAGTTGTCCATTTATGATTTGTTTAATAACAAATTGCACTTCAAACAGATTTAGAAACTTTAATTAAGCTTGAGAATCCTTCTGTGAGATGGGTAAAAATTATTCCAAGTTTATCTATGGAGAAACTGAGGCAAAGCCATAATAACACTTGAATCTTCCCAAGTCTGTGCTGAAACCTGTAGAACATACCCCTTTCTCATTGCTGAAGTGAAGATTTTTCAGGTTGAGGCACACTGCAGAGGACTCCCAGGGCAGTCAGTAACAGCATTGTTGAATACTGTTGGTTTTATGATAGAGAAATGGTTAACTGCTGCCAGAGAGGCTGTCCTGTTGCCTTTGAATAAAAAGGCGTATTAGATCTTGTTTTAGCAATAGGACAGAAAATCTTTGGACAGAGGGTAACTGGGTCCAGGTAAGAACAAACAGATGTTGTGCTGATCTGATTTTCAAAAGAATAACAGTCTCTCAGGGTAGTGACAGTAGGTGCAGAGAGAGCTGTAATATCAACTAACCTTTATTTTATGGAGATTGTGGAGGAAGTGGAATATAAATTGTCCTGATCAATATTTACATGTGTACGGCTACTATCAATATGCTATGATTCATACTCAAATGTTTTTTCAAAATGCATCACAAACCTCACCGGACTTTGTCCCCTCTGTTTTGAAGATTAGACAGTATAACCTTTCTGTAAAGTTGTCCTTGGAACTCAAGGAGCTTGATTTCAAGTGACTGATGTAAGACTAATTACTGTATAGTGAACTTCGTACTTCTGGGTTTCATTTTCTTGCTTTATTATTTCACACTTTTTGTCAATTTAACAAGAACCTCTTATTGAGATAAATATTTAATTATGCACGTAACAGCTTCTTTGCTCCAAGAATTTATTGGCAAGATATGATATATTCTGAAATCTGAGTGTGTGTGTGGGTGCTGCAGTTTATTTTCACCCTTGCACTTGCAGCAAATTCTGTCGACTATCATAATAAGCTCTGAATAACTTTTTTTTTAATTGTAGATTTAAGTTACAAAGCAAATGGTTCTTCTGGCTTATGCAAAACACTTATTTTCTTGTGTAGTGCGGATCAGGGAAATCATTCTGACCAAACCAGAACTATAAAGTTGAGGAAGTAGTATAAAAATCAATAATGTATACTTGGTCTCATGAAGCAATTTGACTTAAAATGATGTTAATTGTGCTTTATTCAAAGTTGCCAGAATAGTTTGAGTAAAAGTAGCAATTATCATTACCTGACCTGTGAACCAAAGAAATCTATTTTTGAATAAGTCAGAAATAATCATCTTAGCAGCAGCAGCACACCAAAAATGCTAAACTGAAATCTATATTTTTATAAAAATCTTGAAAGAAATACCAATAGACTGGTGAAAAAGACTTTTCCTAACAAGAACCCAAATGAAGTTTCAAGAGGAGAGGGATTTGCTGGAGATTAACAACATCTGTTTTGGTCTGTTTCTCACTTCAATTTGAAAAAAAATGAAAATGGAGGCTTCAGACCTTTGCCTGGTATCTACGTGAGATCCAGTTTAATCTCATTTAAGTGCAATAAAAAAATTGTACCATGCTTTAGATGGGTCTTATTCCATAAAGAGAGAGGTGTGAAATAATTCTGTTCTTGTCTTCTTTTGTTTTCAAATTCCTCTTTCCTTGCTAAGATTTTTTTTTTCTTTCCTTATAGTTATGCAGCCCTGATAGCTGACTGGCCTGTGGTGGTTCTAGGCATGTGTACTGTGTTAATAGTGGTGTGTGCATTGGTTGGCATATTAGTTCCAGATCTTCCAGACTTCTCTGATCCTCTGCTGGTAAGTTAGCAACAGTTTCCTGTACTGTCAGATAATTTTCTCGGCTGTACTCTTTTCCCCAACAATAATGATAAACAGGTAATGTAAGTAGTGTTTGGAGAGCTTGTTACATTGCTTTCCAATACAGATGTGCCCAAACCAAAACCCCAAATCTGAGCACACGTGAGCTTTTAGGACATTTGGGTATGAACTTTGCAGTCCAGACCCAATGATATTTTCACAAGGGCTGAGAAGCTGCTAACAAATGTAGTGAGCCTTATCTAATGAATCCTATGGAAGAGCATAGTAGATCTTACAGTTCCTGGTATTTCTTCTAATGCAAATGTCCTAGCAGATCATGACACCAGAAGAGTGAAGTGGGATACAAAGAGGTGGTTGCACATCAGAGTCTGTTACCCCCTAGATTTGAATTCCAGTACCCAGCAGACAACTATCCAAAGCTTATACATGTCCAACAACAGGTTTCAGAGTAACAGCCGTGTTAGTCTGTATTCGCAAAAAGAAAAGGAGTACTTGTGGCACCTTAGAGACTAACCAATTTATTTGAGCATGAGCTTTCGTGAGCTACAGCTCACTTCAACGGATGCATACCGTGGAAACTGCAGCAGACTTTATATACACACAGAGAATATGAAACAATACCTCCAATGTCCAACAACTGAATTACTATGCATTTAATATTGTTGTGAATTTGCCCCACACATTAGAACATAGTCACAGAAGACAGGTTCTCTGTCCTGGAGATCATACATTCTAAATTAGGTTTCGGATTGGGGTGCCAGGATCTGTTAAAGGAAGAGGGAACCTAAGAACCTTTGAGTGATGGAGTCCTATCCATATTGAAGGTCTAAAAGGAATCTTTATCTGAGTCTGATAAACACTGGGGTCAGTTCTTATTTGTTCTGAACCAGCTCAACCATGGATTTAGAACTCTCATGGAAAGAGTTTTACTTGACTACCCTAAAGTACTACAAAGTTACTGTTGTTATATTGCTACTATAATAATGTTCCGCTGCACAGAAAAAATGGAATATAGTAAACTAGTATTTCTTGAAACAGTCAGCAGTCCTTTAAATTGCATTAGTCAAGAAAAATGTTTTCTTTTAAATGGTTCTAAGGCTTTGAGTTATTCTTCTGGGGATGGAGAAAAGACAAGAGACATGCAGAGATAACCAACAGAGATAATTACTCAAGCTACAAAATATTCTGTAATTGAGATAAGTTAGCTCAAACCATTTATCTGCTGAAAATACTAAGAGCCAGTTTACTGATTGGTTAGGCAGTATTGACAATCACTGTTTCTTACTGAAGGTGTGTAACATACATCAGAATTTATAACCACTCTGTAAGTCCTATGCAATTGGTCATTATTGTGTCAAAACATCCTGTTATAAAGCAATCCACCTCTAAACTAGATGTCTGGAGTAACTGAACTTTCTAATTATAGCTGTCCCTCACTTTGATGTTCATGTTTTCCATTCTTCTTTTAAAGCAATGGAATGAAATGTACTAATAAAATTCTGTAATGTTCTGCCTTAGGGTTTCGAGCCAAGAGGGACTGCAATAGGCCAGAGATTGGTCACATGGAATAATATGGTGAAAAACACAGGGTACAAAGCAACATTGGCAAATTATCCTTTTAAATATGCAGATGAACAGGCTAAAAGGTAAGAAATTTTTAATCATGTTATTGTCTCAGCTTGCTGAAATAGAGCCTGCTCCAATGCCTCCTGAAGTCAATGAATACACTCCCATGGACTTGAAGGGACATTGGATCAGACAATCCTCCCCCCCCCCTTATATTCCTTAGGCCTCATGTAGGCTGAAGAGAGGGTTTCATAAAACTTACCCTACCACATAGTGTAACCATTTAAAATGTCTTGTGTTTTCCACTTTGAACTACAAGAAGTGTTAAGATAAAGATAATATGCTTTAAGGTCCCTAGTAGGATAAAAGTGTCATGAATATCTGAGTTATTGAATGTTGAAGTCATATGAGCACTTACATCTATTTTCTCTGGCCAAAGCTAGTAAAATGTGTAAGTAGTTAGGAAACTCCTTTTAAGAATCTTATATTCTGTGTTCAAATAAGATAAAAATGTTTCCTCCATTTTAGTCATCAGGATGACAGATGGTCAGATGATCACTATGAGAGAGAGAAAAGGCAAGCAGATTGGAATTTCCACAAAGACAGCTTTTTCTGCGATATTCCAAGTGAGTGGAATGGTGTTAATAGTAAATCTGAATATTGTGGGAATATTGAATATTCACAGGAAATGTCTCACTATTAGAAAAAAAGTCTCGCTCCCTATATTTATGATATGCACCTTTTTCCTCTTTGCATAAGGCTGAGAAATTTAGACGAAATCACATTTTAAACTTCATTAGCCATTTCCACCAAGCACTGCACCTCACCTTTTCTTATAGAGCATTTCTTTAAAGGGTTTTGGATTTGGTCTTAGTTGTTGACAATCCTAATTGTTAGTACCTTAACATAATTAGTACAGAAGTAGCACTTAACATACATTAAATACATTAGTAGTGCATTATCTGTACTTCAGCTTAAATCTAAAAACAGAAATTCACTTTTCCTTGTATATTCTTCTAGCAACACTATTTTTAAAGGACATCTGTGAGGTCAAATCTAGCCCAAAATTTAGATTTTATAAAACGTAAGACCAGTGGAAACATTTCCATGAAATTTAAAATATACAGGGGGAAGGCTATTTAAAACAAATAAACATTCCTCTTCATATTTAACCAGCCACATATTTCAGCATTGTGTTAGTAAGCACTTTTTGGACAGGAACCATGTCTTGGTATGTGTGTGTACAGTACTTACCCATGGGCCCCAGTCTTGATCTGGGCCTTCTGGGGCCTACTGCAGTATAAATGTTAATAACAATGCATGAGAACATGAATGTGAAATTGACTAGAAAGTGACTAATTTGTTTCTATTGTCTAAGCTGAGAGAGAGGCAAAAAGTGAATACCAAAGTAGATTTTATAAAATTATTTTTTTAACACTATAAGGTCTGTCTTCTAACAAAGGTAAGAAAATTTGGCACAGATCATCCTTTCTCTTTTCATGAGTGGAGATAATTGAGACAAAGCAGATCTCTCCTGAGCAAGAGCAAATGTGGGAGGATCTATCTTGAAATCCATGTGAAAGTTAATATGCTTGAAGCAGCATTAACTCCTGTAGTCCCATCCATGACAGCATTTACACCATCCCCGGGGACTCAGGCAATGGCAAGATGGTAGCTCTCTCATCTTGGACCCCTTTGCCTTCTTTGTTCCTTGACTTCTCTCCCTGTGTGCCTTTAGGATCAGCAGGATTTGGGAGGCTGTGGCTCACTATTCCTAAGGCATTTAGAAAAGCCTGTCCCATCTTCCATGACAATTCTGCTTTGTGCACCTTATGCTGGGTTTTTTGGTCTCCTCTACTCATTGACAGTAGGAGAAGATCTGGCTATTTTCTTTTTTTAAAATAGGATTTTTAATCTGATGATGGCTATTGAAATCATTTTTCATAATAGTGCATGTTTTAAAGTTCTACTACAAAACTAGGCAGAACATAGAGCCTTCACCGCTGCCTTCCATCTTTGCTGTTCTCTTCCTCTTAACTTCTTCCCATGTCATTTAGATAGCTTTCAGTTCTGCTTCTGTTTTGCACTGCCATGTTATCCTGGGCCTATCTCATCACCTCTTGCCCAGGGAGTTCCAGTCCAATGCCAGACTTGTTGTGTTATTTGAGTCTTTCCTCCATGTATGTCCTAGTCATCTCCATTTTAATTCTGTAATTTCCTCTCCTGTAGGTTTCTGTTGCATCCTCCTCCAGAGTTCATTTGTGATTTTTGTTTTTTGGCCATCTCATACTGAGGATTTGTCCAAAGCAGTTGTTTATGAAAAACTTATTAGTTATTAAGACCTTACTAAGTCTACAAGTTTCAGTGCCGTATAGTAAGACTGACTTTACAAAGATGTTAAATGTTCAAATTTTAATTTGGAAGGCAAGAGTTTTGTTTCTTGAGATCTTCTTTAGAGTTACAAAGGCATGTCTGGCTTCCGCTATTCTGGCTTTAGTATCTTCATCTGTTCTACCTGTTGTACTTACAGTGTTTCCAAGATATGTGAATTGTTGGACTTCTTCTTTGTCTGTCCCTAAATTACACAAAATCAGGCAATATGAAGCCCAAAGTACCATATTGTACTCCAAGGTACTTAAGATTGGTGTGTGTGTAATATGCATTCCTGGTTAGCTAAGCATAAAGTTCTGGTAGCCACTAAGACATTACTCCCTCTTACTTTTATTTGAAACAGCTTTCAGTAACTCAATATTTTAAACTGATAAATTAAGCTTCTTTTACAATGGAATTTGTGTTCATTAGACGTATATAACTTCCAGAATACAGATTTTTTTTTAATAAAAAAAGACCCCAAGGACTTTCCAGAAACTTCAACTGAAGTCACCAGCCTCTAAAGCAAAGAAATCATTTTATAAATGTCCTTGTAATTATTAATGATATCCCCAAGTGTATTATTTTACTAAGGCAGCCTCTGATTATATCATGTATCCACTACCAATATGCTGTGAATTAAGATAGACCTATAATAGTTTGCTGCTGAGACTTTTCCTTCTTACTTGTCAGATCTGAGAGGGCAGACAATAAGCATGGCTAGACATTTTTAGGATTTCTGAACTGTATAAAATTGAATAAAATAGGAGACTGAAGTTTAGAGAATTCTTTCAGCTTTAAGATGTTGAGGGAGATTGAAGCTCTTACAGGACTCAAGTCTTTCAGATAAAGAGATCATCTCCTCTCTTGAAAAAGGTAGTTTCCCACCTTCAGACAAATATTCTGAAGACGTACAGTTAAAATAATTTTTATCTACTTTTTGAATGATGGGAATCTGTTTTAGTCTCTGATATCAGACATACCTGAGAAATTCATAAACTTTCTTACTATATTTCCAGGTGATCGATACTCACGAGTGGTGTTTACTTCCACAGAAGGAGAGAACTTGTGGAACTTGCATGCAATTAAATCAATGTGCAATGTAGATAATTTGAGGGTAAGTAAAGAAAACCTTTACTCTGCTTAATCCAGATGAAAATATGTATTTGAAACTCCTTGTGCCTTATATCTAACCACTAGATGAAAGCATTTCAAGTTGTTTTCTTGTTGCACAGTAAGCAATCCACTGGCAGGCACTAGTTCAAAAACAATTTTGCCAGATTACAGATCAGAATTTCTGTTTGTGCACCTCAAGTGATCTTCACTAAAGATAGAGCCTATTTCTGTGCTTCAACACTTTCTGTACTGAAGAGTATATTTTATTCTTTTGCAATGTATTTCCTTTCATAATCATACACCAACCTTTTTGTTTCCCAAAGAAGGCAAGGATTTCATTTCTTTGTCCCTTACTTTTATTTCCCTTAAGACAGTCTGTCTGCATCTTTATGTTCTGTATACATCTCTTGCTGTCAGTGGGTCACTTCGCCCTATGAACTCAAAAAAGAATAGCTTGGCATCAGAGACATCAAAGGGACATAAATACAGTTTCTAGGCAAACAGCAAAAGTAATGCAGGCCAGATTGTATAGTTCTGAAATAAAAATTTGCTTCCACCTTAGAACGTGAGAGAATGAAAGAAGACACTTTGTCCCTGTCAACCCGGACTAGTAGATATTTTTTCCATGTTCAGTGTCTACAGGGCCTTGCTCTCATCCCGTAAAGAGTCAAAATGATATAGGCAACAGCCAGCCTAAGGGAATTTAATAGTTGCTCTTGCATGTGTTAGAAGTTAACTGTGCACATAGTTGAGACTGGTGTCTGGTTTCAACTAATAATGGACATTAACTGACAGTTACAAAGTCCATTCTGAACTAAAAGGCATAATGTATTTGAATATACATCTGAAAAGTATAAGCGTCTCATTCGCTGAAAACACTGTGCTTTAAATTGCAATGCGACTGTAACTTTTCGTAAACTCAGAGACCTGGTGTAGAAAACAACTTAGGCCATATATTTTTCATTTTATCTTAGTAATGATCAATTGATTTCCTGGGTAGAGGCCCATTATCTTTCCCACCACCAAATAAAATTCCCACCAGCAGTTAACCTAACAAATATGCCATAAGCATTTAACCAGAAATGTTTTTTTAGATTGTGATATTTGATCAAGGATTGATTTTTCAGTATTGTCAGGCAGTCACCTTAACACAGCCAATTTCCTCCCCTTTTTTTAGCTGATATTTGCTTGCCTAGGATTCTGAGTTTCCCAATATAAGCAGTGAAATATGTTACAACCAGTAGTGTCAAGAAATGAATCTCACTGAAATTTAGATTAACAAAATCAAGAAGACAGTGAAAAGAAAAGGAGGACTTGTGGCACCTTAGAGACTAACAAATTTATTTGAGCATAAGCTTTCGTGAGCTACAGCTCACTTCATCAGAGGCATTCAGTGGAAAATACAGTGGGGAGATTTTATATACACAGAGAACATGAAACAATGGGTGTTACCATACACACTGTAACGAGAGTGATCAGGTAAGGTGAGCTATTACCAGCAGGAGAGAGAGAGAGAAAAAAAAAGAAAAGGGGGGAAAAAAAACAAAACACTTTTGTAGTGATAATCAAGGTGGGCCATTTCCAGCAGTTGACAAGAACTGTATGAGGAACAGTAGGAGGGGGAAATAAACATGGGGTAATAGTTTTACTTTGTGTAATGACACAACCACTCCCAGTCTTTATTCAAGCCTAATGTAATGATGTCCAGTTTGCAAATTAATTCCAATTCAGCCGTCTCTCGTTGGAGTCTGCTTTTGAAGTTTTTTGTTGAAGAATTGCGACCTTTAGGTCTGTAATCGAGTGACCAGAGAGATTGAGGTGTTCTCCGACTGGTTTTTGAATGTTATAATTCTTGATGTCTGATTTGTGTCCATTTATTCTTTTACGTAGAGACTGTCCAGTTTGGCCAATGTACATGGCAGAGGGGCATTGCTGGCACATGATGGCATATATCACATTGGTAGATGTGCAGGTGAACGAGCCTCTGATAGTGTGGCTGATGTGATTAGGCCCTTTGATGGTGTCCCCTGAATAGATATGTGGACACAGTTGGCAATGGGCTTTGTTGCAAGGGTAGGTTCCTGGGTTAGTGTTTTTGTTGTGTGGTTGCTGGTGGGTATTTGCTTCAGGTTGGGGGGCTGTCTGTAAGCAAGGACTGGCCTATCTCCCAAGATCTGTGAAAGTGATGGGTCATCCTTCAGGATAGGTTGTAGATCCTTGATGATGCGCTGGAGAGGTTTTAGTTGGGGGCTGAAGGTGACTGCTAGTGGCATTCTGTTTATTTTCTTTGTTGGGCCTGTCCTGTAGTAGGTAACTTCTGGGTACTCTTCTGGCTCTGTCAGTCTGTTTCTTCACTTCAGCAGGTGGGTATTGTAGTTGTAAGAACACTTGATAGAGATCTTGTAGGTGTTTGTCTCTGTCTGAGGGGTTGGAGCAAATGCGGTTGTATCGTAGAGGTTGGCTATAGACGATGGATCATGTGGTGTGGTCTGGATGAAAGCTGGAGGCATGTAGGTAAGTATAGCGGTCAGTAGGTTTCCGGTATAGGGTGGTGTTTATGTGACCATCGCTTATTAGCACTGTAGTGTCCAGGAAGTGGATCTCTTGTGTGGACTGGTCCAGGCTGAGGTTGATGGTGGGATGGAAACTGTTGAAATCATGGTGGAATTCCTCAAGGGCTTCTTTTCCATGGGTCCAGATGATGAAGATGTATCAATGTAACGCAAGTAGAGTAGGAGCGTTAGGGGACGACAGCTGAGGAAGCGTTGTTCTAAGTCAGCCATAAAAATGTTGGCATACTGTGGGGCCATGCGGGTACCCACAGCAGTGCCGCTTATTTGAAGGTTTACATTGTCCCCAAATGTGAAATACTTATGGGTGAGGACAAAGTCACAAAGTTCAGCCACCAGGTTTGCCGTGACGTTACCGGGGATACTGTTCCTGATGTCTTGTAGTCCATCTTTGTGTGGAATATTGGTATAGAGAGCTTCTACATACATAGTGGCTAGGATGGTGTTTTCAGGAAGATCACCGATGGATTGTAGTTTCCTCAGGAAGTCAGTGGTGTCTCAATCGCTACAAAAGGTTTTTTCTCTCCTGCTGATAATAGCTTACCTTACCTGATCACGCTCGTTACAGTATGTATGGTAACACCCATTGTTTCATGTTCTCTGTGTATATAAAATCTCCCCACTGTATTTTCCATTGCATGCATCCGATGAAGTGAGCTGTAGCTCACAAAAGCTCATGCTCAAATAAATTTGTTAGTCTCTAAGGTGCCACAAGTACTCCTGTTCTTTTTGCAGATACAGACTAACACGGCTGCTACTCTGAAAGAAGACAGTGGTTTCCTATAGTCACTCCCAATTTTTGAGGATTTCTGGAGTCATAGCAGTGACTTGGAAGTTAAGATGTGAAGTTATATTTTATTTGTATGTGACACTTAAACATAAAGGACTAATTCTAAATGTGATCTAAGTGCTAGTCTGTGAACGTCCACATAGACAGCTGTTTCAAATAAATGCCACTCATCATTGTCCAGTTCAGGGCACAGCATATTTGTGTCATAAATTAAAAGGAAACATATTTTTGGATAACTAAATGAAGACAGCTTCCTACATCTGAAGGATAATTTTGTGGAGCTTGTATTGTTACTGAGAAAGTTACCTTTTTATCGTCAATATACCTTGAAATTTTAGAATTTATTATATCAAATACTACTTTTTTAAAAGTCCTGATTGCCAAAGAGTAGTGAACCCTTCTCAAGGGAGAATAAGAGGAGGCTACTTTGAAGAAAAAGCACCATATAGTAAGCCATGAAAAACATCTCTCCCTTAAAAAACAAACAAACCACCACTTAAGTACTAGGATCATGGAAGCTTTAGCAGTGTCTGTAGATATTTTATATAGGATATTTGTAGCAGATCAAACGTTTTGGACAAGAGATCTTTTTCTTGTAACCTTGATTTGTAGTTAAGCATTCAATCATCAAGCAGTGAGCTGGAGAGCACAATTGCATGTAGCAAGGTGGTGGTGTAGCTAGCTAGTTAGTTGGATTTACAATTTGATAAGAACGAATGTTGTAATTTTTACCTGTCTATGTGCACAGTACTTTTAATTAAAAATTAGTTAAACCAGATGCCAGTTGCTTAGACAATCTGGACGAAAACTTGTTTTCATAACAAAATTGCTTCTAAATGGCTCGTGCTATTGCTTAAGCCATATAGAAATGTTACTCCTTTTCGAGCACCTCCTGGATCTCATGAGGTGCTTAGATGTACCCTGCTTTCAATTGCTATGTTCTTTTGCTGGTATTTGACCTCCTGGAGTGGATGCTGACTTGCGCTGTAACTAGTCTCAAGAAATTGGTGTGCTTTTTGACCTTTAGTCTTTGTTAGACTCTCTCTTCTGTTGGCTATAGTTCACTTATTAAATTCATGCCTGATTAAGGGTGCCAGTTCTGCTTTCATTGAAATCAGTGGCAAAACTTTCATTAAATTCAATGGTAGCAAAACTAGGCAGTACATATTCTGGAATTTTGCAAGTTAAGTTGAAGTGCCAACTTAAGGTTTCATATATTTTACTCTTGATATGTAGGATTTCTGTGCCAAACTATTATTTGCAATAATATGAGCTATCTGTATAAATCCCCAGCACATCAATAGAAGAAGGGATCTCTAAAATCGTATTTCCAGCTGCTTAGCATTTAAACACAGAAACTATCTTGGGAAAAATAACAACTTTAACCATCTGGTTTACTAATACTTAGGGCGCCGTCCTGCAACTGCTCAGCACGTGGCATTCTCATAAACTTCAATGAAAATTCCACATGCAGACTGGCTACAGGATCAGGCCCCTAATTTTTAACTAGAATTAGAGAAGTCCTTTTCTTCCCACATCAATTACAGGAAGCTTTCCTTACTATCTGTATGCTTCTATTTTTCATAAACTTCAAAGATTCCAAATATAGGAGCACAAGCCTACATCACCAGGCAGATCCATTTGCCAAGCTGACGTGCCCTTGTAGGTAGTAGACATGCAGAATGCACAACTTCACTTCTTTAAATATCCCAGTAACAAATGGAGATGTTGCCAGTGACACAGCTGGTCTGGCAAGTACCAACTAACCTTGGCAATATCTTTTGATTAGCCAACAAAGTAGGGCCTAATCCTGCAATGCTAATGTTTTGTAAATAATGTTTTTGCATAGTGCTTTTAAAAGTTATTCCAGGCTAAATTTTGTTTTTTCTTTCCAAGTTTCAGCTGCCAGTTTGTGTTACTTGATCTTTGGCAACAGTTACTTTACCAGCGTTTATAGCTTGCAGCGAGTATTGAAGAATAACATATAAGCTTCATTGTCCCATCTTGAACCTGACTATGTAGAGAGGACAATGCAATCCTTTCCTCCCAGTTGGCTTGGCTGACCCAGAGCTTGCATGTTACATCCTCATAGGATAAATCTGGAGATGTGCCATGAAAAATACAGATATGCTATTCCAGTGCTTCCTTTTATTTATTAGGTTGTTCATTTTTCCCTGAGTTTGCATGTTTGAGTATATTTATCTGGAAACAATCAAATGTGAATTATCCTGTTTTTATGGAATGTCAGGTCATTCTTGTTCAGGAATTGTTTGACAGTCATAGAATATCAGGGTTGGAAGGGACCTCAGGAGGTCATCTAGTCCAACCCCCTGCTTAAAGCAGGACCAATCCCCAATTTTTGGCCCACATCCCTAAATGGCCCCCTCAAGATTGAACTCACAACCCTGGGTTTAGCAGGCCAATGCTCAAACCACTGAGCTATCCCATCATGACAATCCTCAAATTGTGGGTTTTGTCTGTGCTACAAGTGATCACTGATGATAACCTAGTGTAATAAATAAGAAGTAGTATGTCTTATATTTAGCTGATCTGAAATCTGCATGGATAAAGGTTTCAGGGCCCAGTCCTGTAAACACGTAGGCATATGTGTAACGTCACTCACTTGAATGGTCCCAGTGAATGAAGTTATGCCCATTCTGGAGTGTTTGGAAGATTGGTTCCAATTCATTGTTCTTTCCAAGCCAGGAGTTTGGACTAGCAGCATGTGCATGGAATCTGGGAGTCTTAAATTCGTCAAGCCCTTATTTAGCTTTTAGGCTTTGTCTACTTGGGAAAATTTTACTGATTTAACTATATTAAGTAAGAAACTGATGTATTTAAATCAGTACAACCCTCTTTTTGGACACTCTTACTTTGGTTGAAGAGTTCTTCATATTGATTTAACTTAAGTCAGTTCCTTACCAGTTTAAGTTAAATCAGTATGAGGCACTTCTTAAACTGAAATAAGAGTTTCTACACTGAGGAAGCTAATTTAACTGATTTTACTAAATCAGTTTCTCAATCTAAGTAGTTAAATGGGTATAATTTCATAGGCAGACAAGGCTTTGGAGTCATTCAGAGGAAAAGTCAGCCAGGTGCAGAAAGGCAAAACTCATGTACAAAGTGGGCTGTAGAAGGGAGCTTAGGTTACATAGCTTCTTATCCTGGAGCTGTCCCATCCGCTTGTGCTACAGTGCCAGGAGAAGTCCCTATAGCTTCTAGGATCATCTTTATGTGGTCTCAGGAGGGGTGAGGAATACATTGGAACCAACCTTCTGGGCAACTGATTAGTTTAAAAAAAAACATTGGGGAACATTAGAGGGAAAGAGTGCACCTCAGTTGCTTCATCTTCAGGCAGAAGTACTAGAAGAAGGCTTCTGGAGTGAGGTTCTGGAACAGCCTTCCAATAGGAATAGTGTGGGCAACCTAATCGGGTTTAAGATGGAATTTGATGAATTTATGAATGGGATTATATAACAGGGTTGCCTGTGATAGCAGGAGACTGGACTCAATAACCAGAAGGTTCCTTCCAATCCTGTGTTCTAACGTACTAGACTGTAGTGGCTAATGTAAAATATTCTTAAAATTTCTGAGCATATGGGCCTGATTGTCATATCACTCCTACTAGTTTTTACACTTTTGGGACTCTGTGAACTTCTGTGGAGGGTCTCCTGATTTACCTTGATATATGTGAGAGGAGAATCAGGGCCTATGTGTACATGTGCTTAAAAAATGTAAGTATTGGCACAGAATTCCATGAGTGTCACTTTCACCCCTCCTGGATGAACCTGTCTGTGAATTATTTGAAATTTAAAAATTAAATGCAAAGCAGCCATTTTAAATGGCTTTTGCCCTATGTTCTAATCCTGTGTCTGTCTCTACACAGATAAGATCTCATTCCCAATTTGGTGATCTCTGCCAGAGGACCACTGCTGCTTCATGCTGTCCCAGCTGGACGCTGGGCAACTATATTGCCATTCTAAACAACAGATCGTCATGTCAAAAAATTGTAGAACGAGATGTTTCTCACACCCTAAAGCTGCTTCGTACATGTGCCAAGTACTACTACAATGGAACCCTGGGGCCAGATTGCTGGGATGTGGCAGCCAAAAGGAAGGACCAGCTCAAGTGTACAAATGTGCCTCGTAAATGTACAAAGTACAATGCTGTTTACCAGATTCTGCACTATCTAGTGGACAAAGATTTTCTAAGCCCAAAGACTGCTGACTACGTCTTGCCAGCTTTAAAGTACAGCATGCTCTTCTCTCCAACAGAAAAAGGAGAAAGCATGATGAACATTTACCTGGATAATTTTGAGAACTGGAACTCTTCTGATGGTATAACGACCATCACGGGGATTGAGTTTGGAATAAAACATAGTTTGTTTCAAGATTACCTATTAATGGATACTGTGTATCCTGCCATAGCCATTGTCATTGTTCTCTTAGTCATGTGTGTGTACACGAAGTCCATGTTTATCACGCTGATGACCATGTTTGCAATAATTAGTTCCTTGATTGTATCTTACTTTCTTTATCGTGTAGTATTTAATTTTGAGTTTTTCCCTTTTATGAACCTCACGGCATTAATTATTCTTGTTGGAATTGGCGCAGATGATGCTTTTGTCCTGTGTGATGTTTGGAACTACACAAAATTTGATAAATCTCATGCTGATACTTCTGAGACAGTCAGCATCACCTTGCAACATGCTGCTCTTTCCATGTTTGTAACCAGTTTTACCACCGCGGCTGCCTTCTATGCTAATTACGTCAGCAATATTACAGCAATCCGATGTTTTGGTGTTTACGCTGGCACTGCCATATTGGTGAATTATGTTTTAATGGTAACATGGTTACCAGCAGTAGTTGTGTTACATGAACGGTATCTTCTCAATATATTCACTTGCTTCAAAAAACCTCAGCAGCGGGTCTATAGCAACCAAGGCTGCTGCACAGTGTTGTGCCAAGTGTGCCACAAGATTATTTTTGCAGTCTCAGAAGCATCCAGGATATTTTTTGAAAAAGTCTTGCCATGCATCGTTATCAAGTTTCGATATATTTGGCTGTTCTGGTTCCTTGCTTTAACTGTAGGTGGAGCATATATTGTATGTGTTAATCCAAAAATGAAATTACCATCACTGGAGCTCTCTGAGTTTCAAGTGTTTAGGTCTTCTCATCCTTTTGAACGCTATGATGCTGAGTACAAAAAGCTTTTTATGTTTGAACGTGTCCACCATGGAGAGGAACTCCACATGCCAATTACAGTAATCTGGGGCATCTCTCCTGAAGATAATGGAGATCCTCTAAATCCTAAAAGTAAAGGAAAGCTGAAACTAGACAGCAGTTTTAATATTGCAAGCCCAGCTTCACAAGTCTGGATTTTACATTTTTGCCAGAAGTTAAGAAATCAAACATTTTATTACCAAACTGAAGAACAAGACTTTGCAAGCTGCTTTATTGAGACATTTAAGCAGTGGATGGAAAATCAGGACTGTGATGAGCCAGCTCTTTATCCCTGCTGCAGCCACTGGAGGTTTCCATACAAACAAGAAGTTTTTGAGTTATGCATCAAGAGGGCCATCATGGAGTTAGAAAGAAGCACTGGGTACCATTTGTACAGCAAAACCCCAGGGCCTCGCTTTGACATAAATGATACTATCAGGGCTGTTGTACTGGAGTTCCAAAGCACTTATCTCTTCACACTGGCTTATGAGAGAATGCATCAGTTCTACAGAGAGGTGGATTCATGGATTTCAAATGAGCTTCGTTCTGCTCCTGAGGGTCTTGGCAATGGATGGTTTGTGAGTAATTTAGAGTTCTATGACCTCCAGGACAGTCTTTCTGATGGTACTCTGATTGCCATGGGTCTTTCAGTTGCTGTTGCATTTAGTGTAATGCTACTTACAACTTGGAATATAATTATAAGCCTTTATGCAATAGTTTCAATAGCTGGAACTATATTTGTTACTGTTGGTTCTCTGGTTCTTCTTGGATGGGAGCTAAATGTGTTAGAGTCTGTTACTATTTCTGTAGCTGTTGGCTTATCTGTGGACTTTGCTGTTCACTACGGAGTTGCTTACCGCTTAGCTCCTGATCCAGACCGAGAAGGAAAAGTCATCTTCTCTCTAAGCCGCATGGGCTCTGCAATTGCAATGGCTGCCTTGACCACATTTGTGGCTGGAGCAATGATGATGCCTTCCACGGTCTTAGCATACACCCAACTTGGCACCTTCATGATGCTTATAATGTGCATTAGTTGGGCTTTTGCAACCTTCTTTTTCCAATGCATGTGCCGTTGCCTTGGACCTCAAGGCACTTGTGGCCAGATTCCTTTGCCAAAAAAATTGCAATGCAATGTCTTCTCCCAAGCTTTGTCAGGAAGCCAAGGAGACCGGGGACAAAACAAAGCACATCTTGCCAACACATTTCAGTTGGATTCCGGAGGGCAAAAAATAGAAATGGAGCAGGAGCATTATGAGTTAGAGCCTCTGGCATCACATACCAGTAATTGTAATTCATCAGAGAAAGTAAGTTATGAAGAAACCCACATCTGCTCAGAACTTTTCAATGGCAGACCCCCAAATGCATGCACGTCTGTGCATTCAGCATATAACAGTGAATTGAATAAAAGCATCAAAAATGAAGCTGGTTCAACCCTGGTACAGCCATGTGTCGACCAGCATACCATGTGCCCCCTCTCCTCTCAGAACAGGCAGTGTAGCTGTCCAGATGCATATAGACAGTTAAGTGACACTTTGTGCTACCAATGTGCCCCGTCATCTGGTAATGTTGTGCAGGTCCAAAACTCTGTGCCTCCTGTAAATGTTTTACAGCAAGCTGTTGAAAGCTTTGTTCCCCCAGTCCAACATGTGCTCCATTGCAGTTGTCTTCAGGGGAGACTGAAAAGACCCATGATGCAGAACTCTCTGCCTAGAAATTTTTTTCTGCATTCAGTACAGCAGTTTCAAACACATGAAAGAATAAACAGGAGAGATGCAGCTAGTCTTCAGAATACAGAGGAGAGTGTAAGAACTCTTCCAAAGGTGACCAGCTCCTCACTGTTTATCTGCAGAAGTGCTGGTTCTCTTATAAAACCTTGTTCTGAAGCTGAAAATAATGTATCAAGTAACCAAAAGGGACTCTGTAAAAACAGAGACAAGTGTGATTTAAGGGGTACAGAAGTAAATGGAAATGAAGACAAGCGAACTTCAGTATCAAAGCAGAAGATAACTGAAATCAAGATAGATCCGAATTCATCGCAAACTGACCAACTTTTGAAGGCTGATCAAAATGATCAGAAACACATACTGAACAGTGCAGTGAGAGAGGCCGAGTATGAGTTTTGCCCTGAAAATACACAATATTGTAACAGAGCCATAACAGTGAAGTGCAATTCCGCTGACAGTCGAATGCCAAACATTGAGGCCAATGTGCCTGCTTTGTTAACGCATCCAGAACTTTCCAATGAAAGTTTGTTAATAAAACCGCTATAATAAATCTTACGTTTGGCAACCCTGTCTCTTTTTAAATTAATTTCATTGAAAAACAAAACTCTGGATGAAACAAATGATAATTTATATTTTAGCACCATTTTGAAACGGAAAATATATTTTACCGAACAATGAACGTTTGTAAATTGTAAAAAACCCATTACTGTGTAATGAAACCTGATGTTGTTGAGAATGACTTTCTGTAAGTAGTAAGAGGGCTTACACTTAATTTAGTTTTTGTCCCAGATATTTGAGTCTGAGTTCTCCTTTCCCCACCATGCTGAAAAATAAAGCATTCCAAAGAGAGTGTCCCCTTTCTGAGACCACGACTTAGGAGATTTGATGAAATTTGGAGGGAAGGGGATTCTGCCATATTGTCCAAGTATACTCCCTACTCTAGTCCTTTGCTTTCTTAGCAGTCTTACAGGAGGTATGAATGATTCAAATCTAATCAGCCCTTCTGCTGAGCACAATGCTGGCACCTGAAAGAGGAGGAGTTGCCATGGTTGTTTTTGAACCAAGATCTCCTGTAGCCCATGTTCTCAGTGTGTTCAGTTGGGAGTATGTTTCATTGTTAATGTGATATTATAATGAAATGAGAAAAGCAGCCTCTTTGGAGGTCAACAGAGAGAGAGAGATACACTGGACTGCCATTACTAGATATATATGCCGTACAGAGACCTCTTAAGGATATAGGTAAACAGTGGTAACCTTAATTCAGATGGGAACTGGAAAATGGCTACTTTTTAATGACAATAGCAGAGAAATCATATATGTAATTTTATATTAAAATCAGGAGTGAAAGGCCTTCCAATATAGTATTTTTTCACTGAGTACTGTACAAGTTGGAAATGAAACCTCTGCAGATGAAGCACCGTTGGTAACTATGTTATAGTCTTGTTGATGGTAGGCTGGAGGAGGTCAAGTCAAAAAGGCTTTAAACAATTACGTTTTTATTTCACATTGAGGTTTGCTTACCCAAAGGAGTTCCAAACCTGACATAATTACAAATATTGGTCCAAGCCACATAACAAAGAAATTGGATTACAAGCATTGTATTCACATAACTGCAGAGTTTTCTCGGATGTCAGATATAGATTTGTCATATATACAGCTGCAGGTATCAGTGGTTTACCAAAGCAGATTTCAGAAGTGAAATTTTATAGAGTATCTTAATTGAATATTTGTTAGTGTTTAATCTTGTGCCCAGTAATTGAGCTGTTACAGCAAACATTATGCCGAATTTTTTAAAGATAATATAATTATAAAAGATTTGTTTAATAGAATGGGGTGTTGTCCAATATTAAGCACGCTATGAATCAGTGAAAGAGGAGAGTAAATTTTTCCTGTTCTACTTTTCATGTCCAAGGGACGTGACAATCAGTGTCACGTGACAAACCCCTTCTCTTTTAGCTGTGAGCCCCAGCGTGCTCAGCATAAGAACTTGAAGATTATAGAATAGACTAGAATAGCATAAGAGATTTGCGTAGCATAATTGACTTCCCTAGGTCTACAAATACAACTCAGATTTCTCATGCTTACAAATCTTCACTAAATTCAGGGCCAAATCATGCCTACCCCCTTACACAGATGCATAAAGGGGAGGGGCCACCCAAGGAATCTCCCCACCATACAGGGGCTGGACATTGGACACATTTTCTGGCTCAGTAAATAACTGCATGAGGTTAACGGTGCTAGCAATTCACAGAGGGGACGGGGGGAGGTAAGAAAAAAGCAGGGCGATAGTCCCAATGGCACCAACTAACCGAGCTGCCCAGTCATGGAAGGAACTTTCTTAAAGGGCAGGGGCCCAGTAGCTGTGCTTTCTTATAGTGGAAGATTTCTTCATAATGCTTCCTAGTGCACCTGCGGTGGTGGAGTTGCTATGTAAGGCACATTAGAGCTATGAGACAATAAGGTGTGAAATAAAAGGGGAAAGATGTTGATGCTAGTTTAGGCTGCCTTCGCTCTAGTCTCCGAAAGTACAGTGTAATGCTTGTGCTGCTTTCGCCACACCTGTTGTCATCCATCTTCATGCCATCGGAATCCATGGACCGTTTGAAAGTCCCTGGTCCAGACAGCTATAGTGCTGGGCATGCTACAGGGATGTATTGGTATGTTTGGCAACTAGTTACTTATAAATTACATTTTCATGAAGGCTCTTTGCCTAAGGTAACCCTGTCCTACAGGTCTTTAGTAAATGTTTTTATAATAGGGGAGGTAAGCGATAAAGGAGCAACCCATTATCTTAAAATAGTGATGTGTATGTTCTTAAGAAGGGCTGATATAGCAAAACTATCTGGATAGGTAAGGGGTTGTGAAGTAATGTGTACTTACAAAAGATTAAAATTAGCTAAGGTACTTGGCTGATGAACAGTAGCATTTACCATTTGTGACTTTGTACTCTGATTACCCTGCTGACATCTTTATTCCTGCCAAGTCAAACTTAGCTGGGCAAGTAGCAATCAGAAATATCTAAAGGAGAATGAGTTCATTGTTTGCATAGACGGCATTTCTTTATAACAGATGTGTGCGTGCGTGTGTTTTTCATTTGTGTAAATGCATACGTATACAGTACAGCGCATATCCAACAAGGCAGGCATTCCAGCTCCAACCCACCCCATACAGTGGGAGGGAGAGAAGAAAAGAGGAGCTCTCAATGACTGCTGGAGGCAGGTGAGGCCATGTGGGACTCTTGCCCTAGGGATCATGCCCAAGGAAGAATCGAATAATAGCAATCCACCCCCCTCGGGGGAGCTGTCAGTGACTGCTAGGAGCAAATGAGAGAATGTGGGATCCTTCCCCACCCCATGATACTACACAAGCCCCACACATACATTGGGTGTAGATAGCAAGAATTGCCAGTGACTGCATGGAGGTAAGTGAAGCACCTGCCCACAGGAGACTACAGCAAACCTTGACCACGGGCAGAGTCTCTCTAGCTGTCTCCTCTACCCCATCTCCTCTTGAGCCTGAATCTATATGTAACACACCAACTAAGTGTGCTGTGTTCCGCTTGGCCGGTCTGCATAGTGGCTGAGATCCTTCTACTGCTAGCAACTCACAGTTATTCCTTGAGCTCTTGTGATCGAGTTCTGTGTTTTGGTGTTGAAGGTCCTGAGCTCTGTCTTTGCAGATGCCTCATGATGGGAGGTTGTTATATGTGGCAAGGGTATGGTATGGTATGATACCATATGGTATGGTAGAAGGGGAGGGTACATTGGGGCAGACATAACAGAGCAGGTTGGTTGGACTACAGGTACAAGAGGGAAGGATAATAGGAAAAGATGATCCAGAGGTGGGGAGGAAGGAAAAAACCACAACAAACCAAGATCTAACATATAGATGACATTTTGCTTTCATGTGTTGTCTGTCATGTCTATTTAGATTGTGTGATCTTTGAGACAGAGACAGTGTCTTCCCATGTGCTTGTACTGGATGGTAAGTAACATCATTCTAATAAAAATAATGTATTTAACAAAAACAATATACTACGAAGGTTACGCTAAACCCTTTAAAATATCTTGCCACACCCAATATGCAAGCATTCTACATTTAGCACAACTCCTTCATGGTTGGGAGGAGCATCTAGTAGTCTCATAAAATACAAGAAAATGAGCCACATTTTTAAGGCTTTCTTAGCGTGTATTAGCGGTAAAGCTTTCTTTGTTTTAATTTGGAGGGATACAAGCTAACTCCTTTTGTGATCATCTGGCATCAGCTGTAACTGATTGTGTATTTTGGCAAAATGGGAGTACTCCCTTGAAAATGCCTTGGATTTGGAGGACCTCTGATTTTGCCAAATGGAAGCTGGGCAGTCAATCCAAGAGAAATCGAAACATATAGGTTAACCTATTACAAGATTTTAACTCTGTAAGAAATGTCCAAAGTGATGAACGCAAATGCATTTTATTTTAATAGAAAATCTTACACTACTTCATGTAAGTAGCAGATGGTTTCAAAAAATTGAGGGATGCTTCTGCTCAGTGCTTACTCAGATAAAACTCCCATTGATTGAATTGAAATTGACCTTATATTTTTGCCACAAGCTGGGAAACTATTAAATTTCATTTGTAGCAACGGCATGTAAAATATCAGTAATAGTATTTGAATTACAGTGGCAAGAATGGGGCACCATTGTGTTAGGCACTGTATAGACAAGACACACATCGGGAGACCATGACTGCATTAAAAAGTTCACACACTGTATAGGCAAAATAAAAGAAGCAGACTTACCCAAGGTCATTCAGGAAGAACCAGAATTAAATCCAGATCTTCTGAATTCCAATCTAGTGCCTTAATCACAAGACCATCCTTCCTCTCTGTGCTTTTTTTATTTCATTACCCTTCACTTGCTGATTCCTAAGATACTGTATTTGTGCATAATTTTTCCTTTTTATTTTTAAAATTTACGTATTTTTACCTTTACATTTACAAGTTTAAGGCCTCATCTACCTTTAAAAGTTTGCTAGTATTGCTATTGCCAGCAATTACTCTTCTTACTAGAGTAGATGCAGCTTATACCAGCAAAAAAGTGCTTTTGCTGGTATAGCTTATATGCAGTTCAGTGAGCAAAATACACTATACCATCAAAAGCACTTCTTTGCCACAATAATTGTATTTACACTAGGGTCTTTTTGCCCCCCAAATCAATCCCCTAACTGACACTGATGTACTAGCAAAAGTTTCTAGTGCAGACATGGTGTAACATTCAAATACTCCTCAGCAGAGTAAACTAACCGACAGTTAATCATGATTTAATAATTAAAAAAAAAATTCTGAAAACATGTGCTTTCATACAATATGGGCCTGACACTGCTTCTACAGCATTCTTACAAATTCCATTGATTTCAGAGGAGTTAGCCCTGATTTACACTGATGTAAACAAGAGACTCTGCTCTGGCAGTGGCAAGGAGTGAGCATAAACCTTGTCTGATAGTTTAGTAAGGAAATACACTTGTGGTAAGATGCACAGGACATGGGGAACAGGAACTCCTGCATTCCAATCCCAGTTCAGACAGA